ATAACTTCCCACTGAAGATGAGAGAAAAGAGAGAAGAGAGAGAGAAAAGAGAGAGGAGGGGGGAAGAGAAAGAGAGAGCAAGAGAGAGCAAGCCCTCAGTGGCCTATTGGGGTGGGGAACAATCAGACACTGTCTCTCTCTCTGCCCTACCCCCCCACCACCCCGGGCTCTCACTGGCTTTCATCACTGACCTAACCCAGAGGGCAGAACGCTGGGGGGTTAGAGGGCAGGGGAAGGTCAGAGGTCAGTCACTGCACACTGAGCTGGGCCAGGAATAGAGTCACTTAGGGAGTGGTTGGGGGTGGACTCTGGGACATTCTGAGGCATACATCCCACTGCTGGCCAAGGCAACTGACTGAAGGTTGTGGTTGAGAAGAAAGGTTGCCCTACACCCAAGGGCAGTGGGAACCAGGGCTCCATCAAAGCTAGAAATAGGCTTCTAGGATCAACTCCTGCCCCAGTGGGGACATATTCTTGTCCCTAGGGGAATCTGGCCCCTACAGACCCATTGCCCCCAAGACTGGCCCACATAGGTTCTCTCCAGCTTCTGCTGTGCAGCCCCTCTGTCCTGCTTTTTCAGCTTGCATCAGGCTGGGGGGCGGGGGGCAGGACGGAGCACCTTCCTCCATAAATGTGTCTCCCTGGCTTCCTGCACTCTGCTCAGGTGGCCAGTGGGCTCCAGCTAAACCCAGATTCTACTGCTGTGTCCCTCCTCTGGAGTTTTCTGTGGCTCCCCAGTGCCAGCAAATAAGTCTGGGGTCCTGGTTTGCCACTGAGGCCCACCTATGTCTGGCCCCTGCCTGACTTCTGGCTCTCTCCTCTTTATGGAAGCTACTCATTTATCCTAACAGATGTGTGGAAGGGTAGCATGTGCTGGCCACTGTGCTAGGAGTGGGGATGGAGTGTGATTTGAGTAGCCCAGGCTCCAGCCTCAGGGACTTAAGAGTATGGTAGGAGGTGGACAGAAAGCTGGTTAACAAACCACCAAGTGTCACATGCCTGTGAAACAGGTGACAGAGTACATGGGGACCCTGCTGGCCTCCTGACTTTGTCATGTCCCCCAAAAGATGTTGGTGTACACTTGCCAAGGGACACCTGCTGGGGGTCTTTGTCAGGAGAGGTGTCCTCACAAGCATCCCTGATGTCTCCTCAGAGGCCCTTGGATGGCCTCATCAATAAATTCTGCCACATTCTCCACATCAGCTCTACCTCCACTGCCTCTGTGGATTAGAATTAGCCCATTTCCTCGTTTCTTGTCTGCCTTCTCCCACTTGTTCTGAGGGCTTGTCAGGGTCAGGCCCCGCCTGTTTCCTTACCTGTGTGTCCTTGTGGATGGACTTGGTAGGTGCTCAATAAATACTTATTGAATGAACTAAGGAATGAGTAAGCAGGTTGGACCCACCTGATTTCCTGATTTGCCTTCAATGCCAGTGGCAGGTGAAAGAGTCTCGTGCTCTTTCAGTGACAGTGGCAGCTGAGGGTGAAGGGTCAGGCACAGCCTGGCATTCAGATGACCAACCTCACCTATTTGTCTACACTCTGCAGACTTGCCATCAGCTCTGAGTCAGCAGGACTGGGTGGTTGGTGGTACCCTAAGAGGCATTCCTGAAAATGACCACCAGATGGCAGCACTTGCCCAGGAAAAGGGTGCGTGAAGGTGGGCTCCTGGGGATTGAGGCTGCCCTGGGAACCACAGGAATGGAATTTTGGAAACTCAGAGAGGGGTTGGACCTTGCACAGGGTCACACAGCTGAATTAAGTGAGAGGTCACCATCTGCTTGGAGAGAATCAGGAGCAGGAATAGGGCACAAAGGAGGCAGGTAAGCTGGGAGGCAGGGCTGCAGCTCCTGACAAGCTCCTGAAATGAGTGGCTGCCCTCATTGTTTTAAACCTCAGAATCCAAAAAATAAACATAATAAATATAAATATTTTATTATTTTTATTTTATGTGTATGAGTGTATTGCCTTCATGTATGTGAGTGCACCCATGTCATGCAATGGCAGTGGAGGTCTGAAGGGGGTTTTAGATCCCCTGGAACTGGAGTTAAGGACGGTTCGTAGCCACCGTCTGGTGCTGGGAATTGAACCCTCTACAAGAGCAGTTGTGCTCTTAACTGCTGAGCCATCTCTCCAGCCCCATAAAATATTTTTTAAAAGTCAGTGAAGGGATCTGGAGAGATGTCTCAGCAGTTAAGAGCACTGGCTGCTCTTGAAGAGGACCTGGGTTCAGTTCCCAGAACCCACATGGCAGCTAACAACCATCCATAACTCTAGTTGCTGGGAATATGATGTCCTCTTTTGGCCTCTGTGGGCACCAGGCCCACACTTGGTGTGCATGCATACACGCATACATGCAGGCAAACACTCAGACACATAAAACAGAAATAAAGAAATATATATATTTTAAAGTCAATGAAGGCAACCAGGAATGAGAAATAGGGAGAAGCATTTTATATTGTCAGGACAATATCTCTCACCTGCAATTTTTTTATTAATTTTTTTTACAGAGCTGGGGAATCATACCCAGGGCCTCACACAGACTAAGCAAGCACTCTACCACTACCTTGCATTGTAGGCCTTCTAATCTCCGATTATAAAGGCGAAAAAACTTCCCAGACAAAATACAAATGTATAATAAGTTAATCCTACAGAATGGGTTCAGGGACACTATGAAGGGAAGTCAAAGAACAACACACAATACAACACTAATGCTCTATCCAAATAACACCTGCTTCCAAACTTCAGAGAAAAAGCAAGACTTATGCTGAGTGTGGTGGTGCATGCCTTTAATTCCAGGACTCAGGAAGCAGAGGCAAGATCAAAAAAAAAAAAAAGACTTATCGGCTGAGACTGTCTGGGAAGGCTTCCTGAGCCTAAAAGGTGGGGAATCGAGGCAGGAGAGAGGCATGGACATCTTCCCTTAACTGAAAGGGGGCCTGACTCAGTTGCGGGGGCTAGAGATCTACAAAGCACTCTTGCTCATTCCTCCTTTTACACTTGACCTTCACAAATAGTTGCTGGGAGGGATCATTTCCCTATTCTACAGGAACTTGAGCCTCAGGGTCAGGCAGTGACTTGCCTCAAATTCCCTGCTACAAAGTGGTAGAGCCTAAGTATGAATTAGGGCTGTGTGTGGGAGAAGAGCTACAGTCTATGCTATAATCTGGGTATGGGGACTAGGGAGTGGCTCAGCAGTTAAGAGCACTGGCTGCTCTTATAGAGGACCCAGGCTCAGCAGGCTCAGTTCCCAGCACCCATAAGGCAGCTAACAGTCATCTGTAACTCCAGTTCCGGGGGATCTGGATCCTTCTGGCATCTGTGGCTATTACATGCATGTGGTGCACTTACATACATGCAGGGAATGCACATACACATAAAATAAAAATAAATAAAAATTTTTAAAAATCTGGGCGTGGTGGCACACACATGCATCATGTACGCCGGAGGCTGATGCAGGAGGATTGTGAATTTCAGGACACCCTGTGCTTCATAGTAAAACCCTGTCTCAAAGGAAATGCCAAAACAAAACAAAACGACAAAACCCAGCCTGTTAAAGTGTCTGGGTTTGGAGGCTACTAAACTTTTAAAATGAAATTCTGGGAATGGGTATGTAGTTCAGTTGGTAGAGTATGTGCCTACTACGCAGAAAGCCCTGATTTTGAACCCCAGCTTCATGTATACTGGGTGCCCACTGGGTGTGAATCCACTTAGGAGGTGGAGGCAGTTCAAGTTCATCCTCAGGTACATAGTGCATTTGAGGCTAGCCTGACTACATATGAGACCTTGTCTAAAAAACAAAAAATACTGGCTGGAAAACAGGGCTTGGTGATCCCAACTCCTGCCACTGATCACCCACAATATGGGGAAGGTGCTTCTCAGAGTCTTATTTTGCTTACCTGCACTTACAGGATAGAATGAACTTTAGAATTCTGTGACAGTGATCTGAGCTGAAGAGCAGTGGGCTCAGGGGAAGATGGTTGCCATGGTGGCATTCTACACACCTGCTGAGACTCAGCTCAGCTCCCTGCAGTGTGTGTGTGTGTGTGTGTGTGTGTGTGTGTGTGTGTTTGGGGGTGGGGGGGAGTTGGAGGACTTCTGTAGGACATGTGGATAACTATTCTGTGCATCTTTCCTTCCTTCTTGGCCCCCAGGACAGCTGGGAAAGGACACCAGATAAGCCTAGCTCAACTTCACCTGGATGAGGTGGCTTGACCACCTCCTAGGTAGTGGTCCTAGGAGTCACTTTCTTCCAGGGAACTCATTTGACAATAACAGTGGCAGCAGAGGTCGGTGGGGAAATGAGATTGGGAATGTCCAGCTGGAGACACTGATGGTGTTTGCTGAACAGGGGAACATGGGAGCTGTGCTTTCAGTGGAACCCTGGGGCCCTCAAGACTAGGAAGGAGGCGTGGTGTGAATCTTTTGCTAAGTTACTACAAAAAGCATCTATTGAGTGCTGATAGCATGTATGTGTGGAAACTGAGGGATACCAAGGAAAAGTCTTTAAAAGTCCACTGAAAACACTTCTCATAGTTCCAAGTTTAGTGCAGACTTAAAGGCCCCAGACTAGGCAGTAGCAGGGTCTCAGGGCCAAGCTCTGGATCTTTCACCAGCTATAAGCAGTTCTGAACCAAGTTACTCCCTCTCTCTGGTACTTAATTTTTAGGTTTGCAAACGTGGGGACGGCTAGGATCTTGAGGGGCCCTTCCAGCTCTTACGCTATCTTTGGAGTAGAGGGGCCGCAGGCTCTTCCTAGGAAGAGGTACTTAAAATGCGAAAGCAAAGGTCTCACGGTTCGTAGTCCACTGAACTTAGATAGCCTCGGGAATACTTTCGTTGCCCCGGCAACCGCCAGCCCGGAGTGGTCTCCAGTGTGCAGCTAAGGAAGTAAGTCGGGAAGAGCCCTGCCTTCCCCGAGATGGCGGCCGGGGTGGGCAAAGGGCGGGGCCGGTGCAGCCAGCCTGTCCAGACCTTTCTTTCCCTTCCATTTCTTCATACTATCAGCGACCTTCCACCAATACTTATTCTCTTTACTGGTTCGGAGAGTCCCGGAGCCGGGAGAGAAGGGTTGCCTGCCAGGATTGGGGCAAATACCCGGGGGGGAAGAGGCGGGACTTCCGCGTCCGACCGGAAGTGACGCGAGTCGCGGTCACCGCCAGGTGGAACGGCAGGTGGCTTCAGGTGCCAGCCTGGCTCGGGCCTGGCTGTGGGACCGACTCTCCCGGTGAGCGACAGAAGCGGCTCCCAAAGGGTCTGGAGACCGTGGGGCGGGCTCCAGAATCCGAGTCCATCGCCCTGGCCTGGGGTCCCCCGCTGTACCAAGTAAGACTCACCTGCCCACCCCCTCCAGCCCGAGGCGCCCCACTCCAGTCCAGAGGGGAGGACGAGGGGCCTGCTGTCCCAGATGGGGGAGGGGTGGGGAGCTTGGGGCTGGCATCTGGACACTTCGTTGCCTTAAAGCCCGTGTTCTTTTCTCTCTCGGATATAGTTTTCCATTCCCCTCCCGAGCTGGGCAGTTAGGCAGTCTGCCCCAACTCCTGGAACCATGTTTGCAGACTTGGATTATGACATCGAGGAGGATAAACTGTGAGTATTTTCTTTCTCAAGACCTGGGAGTTCGGGACCCTTGTCCCCTCATGCCCCTGGACTTACCAGTTGCACACACTGTTACTTCTCATCGAATGGAAGCAGAAATGGGCCCAGGCATTCCAGCAGTTCATCATCTGTAGGGCGTTGTGACAGATTAACAGATAGTCCCAATTCAGGGCCATAGGAGCTCTAGTAGCATGATCCAGCAACAACACAGGGAAGATAGACAATCCACTGCTGGGGTGGTCTGGGAAGGTTTCTCAGAGGTGGCCACATAGGCAGGTTTTGACGGATGCATGGGGATATAAATGTACCATCCTCCCCAGCATAGACGATTAGTAAGGCAGAGTTTTAAAAATCTCCATTAGAAAGTATTCTGTGTAAGGAGTGGATCTTATGGCCTTGTGTGTTGTCGGCACTTAGTAAGGGGCTGAGCAGAAAGAGGATGGTAGCAAATGTTTATTCAATAAGTAAGCTAACGCTGAGACTGCTTACCACAAGACATACCTAATGGAGTTGTCTCCTGTGGACTGGGTTGAAGGTAGTATAGACTCTTCCACAAACATTCTTCTAAGATCTCTGGTCAGGGAGCCTTGTTTCCCATATTACAGATGAAGAGACTGAGATGCAGAGAACATGCCTGACCCAAATCCTATGGCAGGTTAGTGGCAGCCCTGAGCTGTGAGCCCACAGCTGCATGACTCAAACGTGTTCTGGCACAGATTGCTCTTTCTGGCCAAGTAAGGGGGAGAGAAGGCTTTAGGAAGCCTTCGCAGGGCTTAGAGACCTGTCCTTTTGAGGCTGCCTTTCTCCAGAATTCAACTGCCTTGCTTCTATTTCCAGAGGAATCCCCACTGTGCCTGGGAAGGTAACCCTGCAGAAGGATGCTCAGAACCTGATTGGGATCAGCATTGGAGGAGGGGCCCAGTACTGTCCCTGCCTCTATATTGTTCAGGTATGGGACACACTCTGGAGGTGAGGGCAGGATCTTGGATGGACTAAGTCACCTCCCTTCTTGGGTGTGCCACAAACAGGTTCATTTCTCCACTCTAAAAAAGCTGATGCTGGGGCTAGGGCTGGGGCTGAGGGCAATGGCTCAGTTGGTAAAGTGCTTGCTATACAAGCATGAGTACATGAGCTCAATCCCCAGCACCCACATAAAACACTGGGCATGGTAGTGTGCCCTCGTAATCCCAGTGCTGGGGAGGTGGAGACAGGTGAATCTTGGGTTCAGTGGCCAGCCTAACCAAATCTTGGGTTCAGTGGCCAGCCTAACCAGTGAGTTCCAGGCCAGTGACAAACACTATCTCAAAAAAAAAAAAAAAAAAAAAAAGGGGGGTAGTGCCTTACCTGTACATGAAAACACACACACACACACACACACGCACACACACACACACACACACACACACACACACACACACACAAAGCTGGCTCCTTTGTGTAAAAAAAAAATTTATTACATGTATGCACCTGTGTGTGTGTGCGCATGCATGCGCAAGTGCATTTGTGCCAGGGTGCACGTGTAGAAGTCAAAGGACAACCCTCAAGAGTTGGTTCTCTACTTCCATTTTGGGATTCAAAGCTTGAAATCAGGTGATCAGGCTTGTCCAGCAGTTTTACCCATTGGGCTATCTCCCTGGTCCTCCTTGGTTTTGAGGTCTGGCTTCAGCAGTTCTCCTGCGCACTGCTCTAGGGGGGCTGCCCCTGTACCTCACTCCCCTTTTTGCCTGTTCTTTGCCTTCTGGGTACTTACCAGCAACTTCATTGTTTTGTGGCCTGTTCTATCTGGCTGACAGATCAGTTTTGCCATTATGGTTTGATGGTATGCCATATGCCTTTTCATCGTAGTTAGTGCCAGTGCTGTGCCTGGCACATAGGGCACATTCAGTAAAAGTATCTCTAGTGAGTCAAGTCACTGGCCAAGTGAAGGCTATGAAATAATAATGTCCTTGTTGGGCATGGCAGCACATACCTGCAATCCCTGCATTTGGGAGGTGGAGGCAGGGAGAATCAGGAATTCAAGGTCATCTTTGGCTACACAATGAGTTTAATGTGGCTCCCTGAGACCCAGTCAAAAAACAAAACAAAACAAAACAAAACAAAAAAACAGATGAAGGAAAGAAGGAGCCTGGAGTTCAAATGTAAAGTATCCTGTGTGCAAGGGAGTTCATTAATTGCTCTGGACATCCATTTTCTGTTCTGGAAAGTAACGATTTGAAATATGTAGCCAGGGACTAGAGAGATGCTCAGTGGTTAAGAGCACTTGCTACTCTTGCAGAACACCCAGGTTTGGGTCCCAACAAACACACTGGGTGGCTCACAACTGCTTGTAACTCCAGTTCCAGGGGATCTCATGCCCTCTCTGGCTTCCACAGGCATCAGGCACATACATGGTACACATATGTACCCTCAGGCACACATGCATACATATAAAAAAAAATAAATCTTTAGGGGCTGGAGAGATGGAGCAGTTCTAACTGCTCAGCAGTTAAGAACACTGGTTGTTCTTACAGAAGACCCGGGTTCAAATCCCAGCACCCACATGGCAGCTAACAACTGTCTGTAACTCCAGTTCCAGGGGATCCGACAGCCTCTTCTGTCTTCTTCAGGCATTGCACAACACGGGTGCACTCACACAGGCAATATATGCATACACATAAAATAAAAATAATAAATAAAATTTTTTTTAAATCTTTAAAATACTGGACTACATGAGGTTCTGCCACAACAAAACACAGCAAAAACATACCATTAATTCATGAAATAAACTATGTAGGCATAAGCATCTTTGGGTTGTTGTAAAAACACAACAGAGTGACGTAACATGGGTCAGGTGCATGGCATCAGTCGCTGCCACTGCTGTGAGTCCCTGGCAGCTGCACCTTTTTCCAGCTGCTTTGCCCTGGTAAGGAGCGGCTTTGGGGTCTCTACTGAGGAAGCTGCCCTGGTGTTCTGTCTGCTGTGATGCAGAAGTGGGAACAGGCCTGCTGTGAGGCCTCCTCCTCCAGGTACCTGATCAGTGTTTTTACTGCACCGTCTTGTAACACTCAGCAAAGTAGGCCTCAGTGGCAGACTGGACACTGGGTTTCTGGGAGGATCATCTGCTCTTGCCTCTGCCTTTGAGAGTGATATGGTCTCCTCTGTCCTGGGAGGTCTGAGGGAAAAGGAGACCTCCCCACTGTATGGCCTGGACACATGCCCGCTCAGCCTCTGTGCTACCTTTCCCCCATCTGTTCAAGACCTGAGGGCATGTTTGTTTTTCATGAATAGTGGAATTTATTTTCTGAAGTTCAGTTTTGTTTGTATCTAGCAAGTCAAGTGCACCGAAAGGCCTGTGTCTAGTAACAATCCCCTGCCCTCCTGACCTACCCCTTAGCTGCTGCCTCAGACATGGCTTTGGCTCCCCTGCCCCCCTTTTTTTTCTATTTTGTGTATGTGTATGTGAGTGCAGGTGCCCACAGAGGCCAGAAGTGTCAGATCCCCTTAGAGCTGGAGTTATAAGCAGTTGTAAGCTGCCCAGCATGGTTGCTGGGAACTGAACTTAGGTCCTCTGGAAGAACATGGTGTACTCCTAACCACTGAGTCATCTATCCCCAGCCACCATGCCTGGTGTCTGTTTTTTCTTGATCAATCACTTGTAAATATCTACTGACTGTTCTTAGGCCAGGCTATGAGAGGTCAACTCTCTTGCAAACTATGGAGCTCCTTCTTTGGACACGTTTCCAACATGTTACCTTCTTTACTGAGTCAGTAGTCATGCCATAGATATTTTGTTTTAGGAAAACATTTCCAAGTGCCTGGTAGTTCTGTTGGACACACAAGGGATAAAGTGACAAAAACACACAGCTCCCTCCCCCTTCCACAGCTCTAGTGTGGAACTTTTTGAAGGCCTGATGTTTTTCTTTACTTTGTTTTCTGAGATAGGATCTCATGTAGCCCAGGCTGGCCTCAAACTCCCTATGTAGCTAAAGCTGGCTGTGAATTGATCCTCCTGCCTCTCCCTCCCAGGTGCTAGGATTACAGGCATGCACCACTGCACTCAGCCCCTGGCTGTCTTCTTAGAAGCATGGTCTCTCATTTTCTTCTTGATATTTCTTGCTGTTTGCTTGATTGCCATTTCCTTGGTCCCTCATTGACTTTCCACAGTCAGACTTTCCCATTGTTGCTCAGGCTGTTTCTGTCTCTCAGTCTAACCCTTGGGGACCTCCCCGTCCCCGTGTTCTTTGGTATTCCCATCTCCAGGGTCTCTTGCTCGGTTTCCCTCCAGTCTGGGTGGAGCATGGCCTCCTGTCGCTTTCTGATGAAGGGCATGTGGGCAGTGCACTTCTCAGGGATGTTTCTGTCTCTTGTCAGTGTTATTCCCGTGTTTCTGTGCAGTTGACATTCAGCTCATCAAATTCAGGAATGAATGTCAAAGAGCTGGGGATGTGACTCAGTGGTAGAGCACCTGCCTAGAGTGGCTGAGGTCCTGGATTCCATCCCCAACACTGAGGAAAAATAAACTTTAAATTCGGAAATAAATTTCAGTTAGAATTTTGTTTTTACAGATATTTTTAACATTTATTTATTTTGTGTGTGTGCACCCATGTATGGAAGTCAGAGGACAACTTGTAGGAGTCAGTTCTCCTTCTACCATGTGAGTCCCAGGGATCCAACTCAGGTTGGCAGACTTGGCAGTGGCTAGCCACAGAGCCATCTCATGGCCTCAGTTAGAAATTTGATGGTATCATTCCATTATCCATTGTTACCAGTGTTGCTGTCTTTCTGATTTGGAACCTTTTATTTACATGTGCTTTATTCCTGATCTCTCAAGCCTTGAGGAGCATCTTGTCCCTGTGTCTGAGGTGCCAGGGTACTGCTGCTGGCACAGTCGTGTTTGTGGCTGTGCTGGGTCCTCAGGTGGCTTCATCAGGACACCTGAGCTTCCTTCTTCTGTGAGAGTCCCTATATTGCTCTTGGATTGCATCTAGCCCTGTGTGGTCCTTACTGTCTCTTTTTTGTTAGTTTTCAAATTGTTGCAAATAAACATACCACAGAATTTACCTTTTCAATCGTTTTTTAGTTGATATTAAAATACACTTGTGATGCAGCCATCACCACCATCCATCTTACAACACTTAATCCTCTAAGACTAAAACTGACCTGTTAGGAAGGAACTCGCTGTCCATCTCTCCCCAGTTCCTGGCAGCCTCCACATCCTTTCTGTCTTTGATTTTGAGTGCTCTAGAGGCTTGTATAAGTGGAATCATGTAGCGTTTGGGTTTGTTTGTTTTTTTAGTATAATGTCCTCCTTGAAGTTCATCCATGTTGTTGAGGTTTTGTTTTTTTGCCCTCTTTTGAGTTAATTTTTTATACCTGGTATTAGAGAAGGGTCCAGCTTTCTTCTCCTGCCTATAGATATTGGACACAGACTATTCTGTGTCCATTGAATGTTGCTAGCCACCATGTGGGTGCTGGGAACTGAACTCAGGCCCTCTGCAAGAGCAGCAAGTGCTCTTAACCACTGAGCCATCTCTTCAGCACCGTATTGACATCTTAGTATCATGTCTTCTCATTCACTAACATGGACCATTGTATTCATTGCTGTGGCTAGATACCTAAGGGAAACCACTTAAAGGAAGGTGAATTTATCTTGGCTCACAGTTTGACAGGTGTGTCCATCAGGGCAGGGAGCCTGTGGCTGAATAGCTCACATCAGCCAGAAAACAGAAAGGCGTATGTCTGCACTATGCTAGCTGGCTTTCTCCTTTCCCTTTATTCTATCCAGGCTCCCAACCTATGATATGGTGTGGCCCACATTTGCAGCAGGCCTTCCCTTTTTAGTTAATCCCTTCTGGAGACATCCTTACGGAGGTCCTTAGGCATGTGACTCAGAGATTCCTACTAGGCATGTGACACCAGAGTGTAGTAGAGCTCTCCTCTCAGAGATAGAGCTTTACTTATGGCCTGGGTATTTCTCAGTCCAATTTGACTGTTAAGATCAACCATCCACAAAGTCTGTGTCTTGTCAACTTGACACTCAAATACCTTAAACCATAACATTCCACTCCTGGCCCTTCAAAGATTCATGCCTTGGGGCTGAAGAGATGGCTCAGTGGTTAAAAGCACTTGATGCTCTTGCAGAGGACCCAGGTTTGGTTTCCAGCTATCACATGGCAGCTAACAACCATCCATAACTCCAGTTCCGGGGGATCTGACACCCTCTTCTGACCTCCACAGGCATTGCATGACATAGGTGCACTTACATGTAGGCAATACACTCATACACAGAAATAAAAACAAAAAATAATACTCATGCCCATCTTACAATGCCAAATGTATTAGCTATCTCTAAGAATATCCATAGTCTTTTTGTTTGTTTTTTGTTTTTTACATTTTGTGTGTGTGTGTGTGTGTGTGTGTGTGTGTGTGTGTGTTTATAGCACAGGACAGAGGACAACTTGCAGTTAGCTCTTTCTTTCCACCATGTTGGGTTCTGGTGATTGAACTCAGGCCATCAGGCATGGTGGTAGGTGTCTTTACCCTCTGAACCATCTCACCAGCTCTTGTTTTATTTTTGAGACAGGATCTCAGATAGGCCAGTCTGACTTTGAACCCACTATTAGCTGAGGACAATCTTGAACCCTTGATCCTGCTGCCTTTACTTCCCAAGTGTTGAGATTATAGGCATGCACTATCACACCTGCCAAATTCTCAGACCTTTTTTAGGGACCAGGTCTCAGCCCAGACTGGCCTTAAACTCACTATGTGGCTGAGGAGGACCTTGATCCTTTTGCCTCTACCTTCCATATGTCAGAATTGTGGGTATGTGCCACTGCACCTGACTTAACCTCCTTAGTCTTAATATTTCCAACATTGTTTGAATTAAAAAAAAAAAAAGTTCGAAGTTTCCTCTGAGAGCCAAGGCAAACTCTTAGCTGTGAGCTCCTGTAAAATGGAGTCAAATCAAGTTATATCCTCCTAAGATACAATGGTACAGAGTAAACATTCCTATTCTACAAGGGAGGAATGGGGAGACAGCAGGGGTCCCCAAAAGGGACCAAAGAAGACTGAAATCAGCAGGGCTGATGTTAAATCCTGTAGCTCCATGTCGCGTCTATGGCATGTGAAGGTGTGACATCAGCTCTGAAGGGCTTGGTGGCCTTGCACCTGAGGCCTTTGTCATTCTCAGTCTACATTGCCTCTTTGAAGCTGGCTGTGCTTGCTGCCTGTTACTTTCCTCAGCAGACATTCCACGTTCCTGGTGTTTCTAACTTCCTGGGGTCTCCATTACATCTTCAGCGTTACCCTCACAGTTCTCAGTTCCCCTCTCAGGATCTTCCTGCAGGGATCCTGACCCTGTCACAATTTCCTAGCTTCCCAGACTTCCCTTTGAAATCCAGATGGAAGCACAATGATTCCTAACTGTTCCATTCTTACGTCCACAAAACCAACATCATGCAGATGACACCAGACACCAAGTGAGGGACCATGCTTCCCTAGGGTCAGCAGGGTGACTTGAGCTCTCTTCTCAAGCAAAGACTTTCAAATGAGTTGAACTTATATCCCTGTGACTGCCATAGATGGGGTCTGGCCAGTACCCGAGATTCCCTCAAGGCTCCTTTCCCATTTTTCTGACTTTTTATTGGCATAATCTCTTAGCCACACTTTTATTGGCCCCCAACTTAACTCTAGTTCATTTTCTAGGAAAACTGCAAGTTTTCCAAACCTTTCTGCTCTGTAGTTTGTTAACAATTTTTGCTATAAACCTGACTAAAAGCCAGGATTGCCCATGCCACAGCCTTGACATTCTTGGAATTCTGAGCTGCCTTGAAATTAATTAGTTCATCACCTTGAAACTCAGCCTTCCACAAAGTCTCAGGACACAGACAAAATGTGGATAAATTCTTTGCCAGAATACAGCATAAACTGCCTCTCATCTCGTTCTCAATAGAGTCCTTGATCCCATTTGAAATGTCATGAGCATGGTCTTACCTGTCCCCATGCCTGTTGGTTTCTTGGTCTTCTGAGCTCCTGTAAGAACTGTCCATTATGATGAGTTTACCCACCCAGCTTGGTGGCACACACCTTTAATCTCTGTACCCTGGAGACAGAGGCAGGTGAGGTTGAGGCCAGCCTGGTCTACCTAGCAAGTTCCCGGCCAGCTGGGGCTATGTGGATACACAGAGACTCTGTCTCAATAAAACAAAACAAACAAAAGTTTGCCCATATTCTAGGGCTTCTCTAGCCCCATCTCTCAGCCTTTCTAAATTCTTCCTGGAAACTGGGTCCAAAGGCTTAAACACATGGCCATGTTTGGACACAGCAATGACCTTGCTTCTCTGGTCCCAAATTTCTGTTAGACTGTTCATTGTAGTGACATATCTTTCAGAACACTTAACAGGGGAGGAAGTACTTTTTGGCTCAGGGTTTCCCCCGTTTCCGTTAGTCTGTGGAGGAGGGCAGGGCTGGAGGAGAGCAGCTCACATGGGGATGGCCTGAAAGGTGAGAGAGAGTGCCTGTACTGGCTGCCTTGCCCCTGTCTCCTCTTGTTCTATGCTGGCTGAAGCCTGTGAGAGAATGCTGCCCTTATTCAGGACAGGTCTCCTCACTTAGCTAATTCCCCCAGGAAACATCTCCACAGACACCCAAGAGGTGCCTCACTCGTCTCCATCCAGTCAGGTGGACAGTCAAGATGAGCCATCACTGGACTGTATATGATGGCGCACGCCTTTGATCTCAGCGCTCAGATCTCTGTGAGTTGGAGGCCAGCCTGGTTTACATAGCAAGTTGCAGGCCAGCCAGGGCTACACAGTGAGACCCTGTCACCAAACAAACAAACAAAAAAAGGAAAACAAAGTGGAGACATCTGTGTCTTTAGTTTCTTTCAGCATCTCAGTGTTTGCATTTTGTATACCTTTTGTATATACCTTTTACCAGTTGCAGTATTTGTAATGTATTTCTGAGAGGTTGAAGAGCTCAATGTTCATCTTAATTTTCTTTTTTTTTTGTATATAAACAAATGTTGTAAAGCATCCTTTCCACATGCCTTTTGTAGAGAATTTAGAAACTAAAGGTAACAAAGTAGCCACCATGTTGTGGGAGGCTGAAGCAGGAGGTTTGTTGGTTCAAGGTCAGCCTGGGCTACAAAGTAAAACCTATCTCAAAAAAACAAAATGCTAAAGGTGCAGACCTCTGCTAGAGGCTTTGGGTCTCTGGTGGTTACTTCAGGTGTAGTTTGTGCTCCTGTGTCTTTGTGGGTGCCCCCAGAGCAGGCTTTCTCCTTGCTGGATCTTTCACACTTCTGATCTTTGACATCTACAGCCTGACAGCTAGTGAGCGCAAATCCTGTTGCAGGGCTCACCTTGAGGAAAGGGCGTACAGGCACCGGGGCCTTGTTCAGAGCAGCCCTAAAGTGGGTGTGGGGATTGAGGTACTTTGGACTGCCGACTGAGTGCAGAGTAGCGTGGTGGGAAATGACGACACAAGTGGCATTGGGGGAGCAGATGCCCACAAGGGACTGTGAGGGTTGGTGTATTTGCTGGTAGAAAATCCTCACTTGTTGGATTTACGACCTGTCCTGTGCACCCTCTCCTAAGAGTTGGGCATTCCTTTGAGGACTTCTCCCTTTACCTTCACGGCACTGCCTAAGAGGCCAGCAAGCCTAGGAAAGCAGAGTGGGCAGTTACAGGGAGGGCCTGTTAGGTCCCAGGTTCACCTGCTCTCCCCCACTTCCTATGCATCTGCAGGTGTTTGACAACACACCTGCAGCCTTGGATGGCACAGTGGCAGCTGGGGACGAGATCACCGGGGTTAACGGCAGGTCAATCAAAGGAAAAACGAAGGTGGAGGTGGCGAAGATGATTCAGGAGGTGAAGGTAAGATCTCTGGGGTCCCATGCCTATCCACCCAGGCTGCCAGGAGCCTAGCAGCGGGGATAACTACCTTGTACAGCAGTACCAGAAGCACACTCCAGTCTTGGTTCTCCTTATCCTCTCAGTAAATGCCGAGTATTCTCAGGACCTGTGTTGGGCTCCTCTGAGTCCCTAGGTATACTGAACATTCACACAAGCCATGATATCCCCAGTCAGGGCTGGAGAGGAAGCTTGATACCAATGGTGACCCTCCCTGGATTAGTGGACTCTGCTGACCACTGTTGGGCCATGTTGAGTCTTGTGGGAAGGATCATTTCCTAGTTTCCTAGGAACTTCAGGCCATTGGAGCCCCCAGGCTCAAGGCAGTTCCCAGTATAGCTGCAGCCCACAGTCGTGTATGACCTGCCCCTGTTCCCCTACCCCAGCTGCTCCACAGGGACTCTCACTCTTCATGGTGGTAGCACTCTAGCCACTCAGGAAGCAAGCATGGCCTTTCTGTCATTGCCTAGAGGTTTGGCTGCTGGGGACACTTGGGGAAAGTACAGTGAGTGATCCATGTGAGGGATGGATGACTGGCAGTCCCAGAGTCAGGGTTTGAGTTCAGCATGCACAGAGCTGGGCCCAGTGCCTGAGGTCCCAACCAGGCCAGTGCCCTCCCCTCCACACTGCCATCTCCTGTCTCTAGGACCTGCCCTCATGGTCCCCCTTCTCACCTCCGCCCAGACAGGCACTGCTCTTGCTTCCCCATCACCTCTGCCTGCTCCTGAGTCATCCTGGTACTTGGTCTCCCTTCAAGGAAAGGTTACCTCTGTATCCCCTCCTCCTGTATCCCTTGAGACATCAGACGGACCAGGGTTGGGGACTCAGCTCAGCAGCAAGTTTCCCTAAGCCTCCAGGGGCCACACCCTGCAGTCTGTGTAACCTTGTTCTGGGGATCACCTGCTGGGCAGAGGTGCTGGGAAACAGGCAGAGAGGGTACCATTCAATCACTGAGTTGTGTTTCTCTCCTCCACAGCCCCTTCCTGCCCTCCCCAACATCTCTCTAGATCCCTTCTGTCCTCCCAGGCCTGTCTCCTGCCAGCCCTCATGTAGCCCTGTGAACATGAGCCCTTCATGTTTGTCCACAGTGCTGACACGTGGACGCATATTTCCCCAGCTCCCGAGGATGTGCACCAGACAGGACTTACTGGCCTTTTTCCTGGTGTCCAGAAAAAGTGATCTGTTTGTGGTTGCACAGCAGAGCCAGATCCCTGGCCAATCCCAGTGCAGCACTCTTCGCCACACCTCAGACACCTTGGGCCATGGGGATACTGATGGAGCCACTCACATCCCTCTCCCAGCTCTAACTGCATTGGCTTGAGTTGGCTCTGCTTTAGGGTTTGAGTTTAAAATCTAAGTTTGATTTAAATGGCTTCAGTTTTAGCCTCAAGGGCCTGCAACCACCAGCGTGACCCTGATAGTCCCCCTGTGATTAGAAGCCTGCCCCTGAGCACTCATTAGAACACATGGATAAGTGAGTCCTCAAGTTGCTTGGCCTCCCTTGCTGGACTGGGGTCCCAGGGAGGTCCCACTCTGTGCCTTCTCTGTGGCATGCTAGTGCCCAGCACGGAGAAAGTAGTCTCTGGGGAGGACCTGGGACCCAGAAGCTTCTGTCCTAACTGCTTGTGCTGTTCTTGTAGGGGGAGGTGACCATCCACTACAACAAGCTGCAGGCAGACCCCAAGCAGGGCATGTCACTGGACATTGGTAAGCCAGGCCAGAGCATCCATGCACCATGGGCTCTGTCTTTTTCTGTCCATGCTGATCCAGAAGGCCTAGAAGGAACAGGTGTTAAGTGCTCTCCCTACAGCTCTTCATAGGCCTCTGGCCCTGCTTTCTCACTGCCCTGTGTTTATACCCTCTACCATCACCACCCCAGCCACCTCCTCTTGCTGACCTCAGGTTATTATTATTGTTTTTTAATATTTTATTTATTTTAATTTATTTTTTTCAAATTTTGTTTTATGTATATGAGTGTATTTTCTGCATATATGTTAGTGCACCTGTGTCATGCAGTGCTGCAGAGGTCAGAAGAGGGCTTCAGATTCCCCTGGAACTGGAGTTAAGGACAGTTCGTAGCCACCATGTGGGTGCTGGGAATCGAACCCAGGTCCTCTGCAAGAGCAGTCAGTGCTCTCAACCGCAGAGCCATCTCTCCAGCCCCTATTATTTTTATTTTGTATGTACGATGTAAGTGCACCTGTGTTGCGCAATACCCTCGGAAGTCAGAAGAGGGCGTTGGAGCCCCTGGAATAGGAGTTAGGGATGGTTGTTAGCTGCCATGTGGGTGCTGGGAACTGAATCCCGGTCCTCTGCAAGAGCAGCCAGTGCCCTTAACCACTGAGCCATCTCTCCAGTCCCCTCAGGTTATTTGTAGGCCAGCTCTGAGCTTGCCATTCAGAGAAAGGGCAGTGGCCTGACCTTGGCCTGCGTATTCTGCCTACCTGCACATTTCTTTCCTCCCTGTCATCTTCTGCCGTGTACACCCAGGAAGACAGAGCCTGCAAATTGGGTCATAGGCACTACAGAGGGCCACTGGCTAGCATGCCCACCCATGATGTGCTGTGCTGCAAGTCGCCTGTGGTTAGAGGGTCTGGGCCTTGCCTCTACAGAAGCAGAAGAGCAGGAGTTAGCTTCCAGGTCCTCTAGATCAGCTGCCTCACAAAGCATGAGGCCCAGGAGGGTTTTTCAGTCTCCTGGCAGAACACCAGATGAGCACATACTTAACCTCCAGCCCACAGCCTATCAGTACAGAGGCTAAGGGCAGATGAAGCCCACTCTGTACATTCTTTTGTTTGTGTGGGTTTTTTTTTTTTTTTTCAGACAGGGTCTCCCTGTAGCCCCAGCTATCCCGGAAATCACTACATAGACAGGCTGACCTCAATCTCATGGAGCTCTGCCTGCCTCTGTCTCCCACATATTGGGCATAAAGGTGTACACCACCATACTTAGTCTACTCTGGACATTGTTGCTCTTGACATTTTTGGTTCCAGCCTAGGACCCGTTCCAAGGCCTAAGCTGGTTACATGCAATGACCAGCCAGTGGCATTTAATGATACCTATTGCTTTGAAATAATCAGCCCAGGGACCAGCCCTTCTGAGCCCCCAGAAGTCATCTCGGGTGCTGGTGGGACAGATCTTTCTGGCAGGCTTGTCAGCCATTGCTGTGTACTAGACTCTCAGTGATACCAGTAGCTGACAGCAGATCTCAGACCCTGGGCTGAGTGTTTCATGTTTACCTATCCATTTCTCTAAGTGGAGTGTGAGAGGGGCAGGAGCCCAGAACACTCTCTACTGAGTAGAGTCCCCACTTCCTGACCCTAGTTGAGTCTTCTGCCTCCTGCTGGCACACCGCCTGAGGAGTTGTGATGGGACTGAGGGCCTGGATAGCCTAGGCCAGCTGCAAACCCACTGGCCCTTTCTCTCCTGGCCCCAGTGTTGAAGAAGGTAAAGCACCGGCTGGTGGAGAACATGAGTTCAGGGACGGCTGATGCTCTGGGCCTGAGCCGCGCCATCCTGTGCAATGGTGAGTCCCCTTCTCCCACCCTGCTGGCCCAGACCTGGGGAGACCCCACAGCTGCCCATCAAACTGATGTGGGGCCTGGTGGCCCGGCCCTTCCTCCACCTGGATGGCCAAAAAGGCACATCTCTGTATCCAGCTCCCAAGAGCCACCACAACTGCCAGGTGGGCTGTCCTTACCAGCAGGATCTTTTAGGTTACTGAGGCGGAGAAAGACTCAGGTGGACAGGTATCCTCTCCTGGCTCTTCAAGCTGAGGGTGCATGGCCAGAGCTCATCTGTGCCCCAGTGCTCATCCTGCTCATCTCTTCCCAGTGCCTGCCTGTTCTTGCACTGCCCACCTCAGCCCTGTCCTTGACCAGGAGGTGGTGCTGCTGCCCTCTCTGCTTTTTCTGCCCACTTGGAGAAGCTGTGTGCAGGCACTTTACACACACTCAGACACATGGGCCCATTGTCTCCCCTGGGAGGCCAATGGAACCCGTGGTCCTGTTACTGCCATCACCAGCCTGTGCTTATAAATAGCAGTGCTGTGCATGTACTCGGGCAAGATAAAAATACCCATATAAACTGTGGGCTCAGCTGGGCACATGGCCTTTATTGGCGGGGAGGGTGGGGGCAGGGCCTGAGCATGTTCCAAATGGGGTACAAAGTGGCAGCTGCTATTTTCAGCCCTTGGTGCCTATAAATCCTTGTTACCGTAGTTACCATGCGTTCATATGAAATTAGAACGGGTTGTTGTTTTCCCCCAAACCTTGCAATTTCCCCAGCCATAAATAGGGTTTCTAAAATTGAAGCTGTCATGATGTCCCATGACCCAGCTAAAAACAACCGCATAGCACTTACGTGGCTCCTTTCCTGCCGACTGGCCACGTGCTCAGGCTCTGCATAGCCAGGGTGACTACAGCCTCCCGAAGACCTCTAAGGTGTCCCATCCCTCCATGGTCCTTCACACAGCTATCTTCCATGCCCAGAGAAAATCGTAGCCTTTGTCACACTCCTCCCTTCCTCAAAAGACCCTGACAGTGAGCTCTAGACCAAAGCCCAGAGAGCCAGACAGTCCCAGCTGTGTGGTTTCAGGCAAGTGGCCTTACTCTCAGCAGCCCCTCAGCTTGCTCTGTCAAATGGGTGAAGTGGTCCTGCCCCAGAGACACGGGCTGGCAGGGGGCAGGAGCTGTCGGGGCCTTCAGTGGGCATGGCTCACAGTGGGGTGACCTCTGACTGCCTGTGCTTTCAGGCCAGTTCCTGGCCTAGGGGTGATTTGAGTGGAGAAACTCTCACCCTCTCACAGGTACTTCACCCTCACAGGTAAGGACCTTTGCAGAGTTGGGGATCCCAAAGAGGGTGGCACTCCCTACTGCTGGGGGAGCCTAAGTGTCCTGGCTTCTCCCTGCACCCCAAGCCCACTTCTGGAACACCTACCCATCTCTGGCAGTCAGCTTCCTCCATTTCCAGACCCCAAGTTGAGGGGCTGTCCACTAGTGTACCACCCATCCTACCCTGGTCACTGGCTGGAGCTGGACTTAAAGCTATAGGCCAGGACCTGGATCTAATTTTCCATGGTCACTCTCCTGACCTAACATGGTGGCTGGCTGACAGCAGGTGCCCAGTTAATACCTATTAGGTATTGGCTGTGATGGCCAAGTTCTTCCACCAGTGTGAGTTCTTTGTTCAAGCGTTCCTAAGTTTTCCCTGGGCCCCAGTCCTCCTCACCATTCTTTCAGCTTCCTGGCCATGATCAAGAACCCCCACCCCCCATTCTCTATGACTACTGTCCTCCCTGGCCATTGACAGACTGTGTTAGAAGTATAGGGGGCACTGGGCACTGGCTGAGGGCCTGCCTTCTGAGGCCATGGGAAGCCACCCACGGGTCTAGCCTGGGGAAGACCCACCCTTGTGCACTTATGACTGGGAAGAACCTGTGCTGGGATTGTCCCAGTTAGTGGGCAGTGGTGGGGTAGTTGTATTGAAGATTCTGAGCCAGCCCTGCCTACTTCTCATTCACCTATCCTCTAGATGTCCTGGGTATCAGTGCATTGCCCTTGAGCTGGGCTGGCCCTAAGGCCCCACGCAGACCTCCTGTTCTAGCCAAAGGCCAGTCCTCGGGGGGCTGCCTCCCCCTCCCACCCCGGCTCTGCCCTGGGCTGCTGTCCCCACTCTGGCTTGCTGAGCCCACAGCCTCCCATGTTCTTGACTTCCATAGATGGGTTGGTGAAGCGGCTGGAGGAGCTAGAGCGCACAGCTGAGCTGTACAAAGGTAGGTAGGACCTTGGCCAGAAAGTGCCTGGTGCTGGTGTTCTCTGGGGAGTTCTGTTCTAGAGAGTGGGTCGGGGGGCTAGCCTAGAAAGTTTTAGAACCAGTACGCATAGTGAGAGCTCCTTCAAATCCCTGCTCTCCCAGAGAGAGCCCCTAGGAGTCTTTTCTACCTGTGTCATACAGGGCCCTGGCTTGTCAAATGGGGGCCCTCACAGGGGGCCAACTCAGCCTTAATCCCCTGGCTTTAGAGGAAATTCTGGGGATCCAGTGTCCAATGAGGACCTCAAATGGGCTGGGAGATTGGGGTTCCATCTGGTCTCTGACATGGGTCTCCATCTTCTGTCACTTGTGTCTCTCTCATAGGGATGACAGAACATACCAAGAATCTTCTACGAGCCTTTTATGAGCTGTCACAGACGCACCGGGGTAATGATGGCTCTGCACACCCCTGTCCTTCATCGGTAGCACCCAATGTGAGGTGTGGCTAGGTTCTTGCCCGGGGCCCTTCTTACCCCCTATGCCAAGGCTGACACCCACGTGTGACGTCTAGACAGATGCCAAATGTAGCAGTGAGAGCCAGCTGGCCTTCTGAGGACACCGTCTTCTCTCTCTGCCACTTACAGTGCAGACAGCCTCTCTTCAGTGTGGTCTCTTTCTGTCCTATGGTGAGCAGAAGAGCCACAGTTAGCCCTATATATAGACAGGGAAGGAAAACTCAGGAGCTCAAGGGGACAGAGCTGACATTAGAAGCCAAGAATCCAGATTCCCTATTGTTGGCCACCACCTTAGATCTCCACTCAGCCCTGTGCTGTGATCTGGTCACTCTGGGGAACTAACACCAGATCCTCTAGGTGTGTGGACCCAGCCCCTTGAACATATAGACCCTAGTAGACCTTGTCTTCCTGTTGGTCAGGCCCCTCCCCTGTTGCCCAGCAAGCCTCTGGCTTCTCCATTAAGGGGTCAAGTAGGGGCAGCCTTCAAGGCAAACTTGTCATGCAGCCTTTGGGGACGTGTTCTCTGTGATTGGAGTTCGGGAGCCCCAGCCAGCAGCAAGTGAAGCATTCGTGAAGTTTGCTGATGCACACCGCAGCATTGAGAAGTTTGGCATTCGGCTGCTGAAAACCATCAAGCCGGTGGGTCCCTCCAAGAACAGCATGCCCAGCTGGCTAGGGCAGGGAGGGATGTGTGGTGTACAGGAGAGGTCCTTCCTGGGCTGGAGTCAGGTGCCAGGTGTAGGCATTATTGCGATCACCTACGTGACCAGCCACCCATAAGCCACTATGCCTCCTTGGGTTCCTGTTGATCTCAAGGCTCTGACACTGGGTCACAGTGTGCCCTTGGCCTGACATGGATACAGGAGTGCCCTTTGGCTGATGCCTGAGTCCACTGGGGAGGGAGTGTGACACATCAGTTCTGTTTGTCACCCTGCCTTGCGGTCCTAAGTGCCCCTACCCTCCCAGATGCTGACAGACCTGAACACGTACCTCAACAAAGCTATCCCCGATACACGCCTCACCATCAAGAAGTACCTGGATGTGAAGTTTGAGTACCTGGTGAGTGATTACAGGTATTCGGGTGGTTGGGGTGAACCTACCCTGGAGGCTGGTCCCAAGGTAGTCAGCCATCCCATGACAGGCAGGACAGGGCCAGATCGCTGTCCTGTGTCAGGAGGGGTGTGGGTCTGATGGCCTGACTAGAGAATTGGAAGCAGCCAAGGCTCTGCGCTCCTACACAAAGAGGCCTTGAACCTAGTGAGCAGGGAGGGCTCTAATTCTGTTCACTTCTACCCCTTGGGACTTCTCACCCTCACAAGCTTAGACTAGGTCAAAGGAGGTGAAAGGTAGTCTGTTAAACAAGCCAAACTTTTTTTTTTTTTTCGGTCTTTTTGAAATAGGGTCTCCCTGTGGCCCCAGCTGACCTGGAACTCACTATGTAGGCCAGTCTGACTCCCTCTACCT